CAAACTCACCCCTGTCGTGCCAACAATCTTCCCTCCCCAGCTCCAGTCGGTTGGTCGTAAATTTACCCCAGATGAACTGGGCCTCAAGGACGACAAGCCAGACAGCTATCTGCCAAAGCAGGTATGCAGAACCTCAGAACCTGGTACAAGGTATGCGATTCTTCGGTTCTGGCGTCAGTCGACCAGAGGAAATCTGTCCCTTTTTTTTTGGCCGTGAAACTACAAATGTGGCGGCTCGCCACGGCACTGGCGTAGAAGCGTGGATTGCTGAGCAACTCCGAGCAAGCACACACAGTCCTGCCGCTATGGCACAAGTGCTTCTGTATATCTACCCTAAGTGGCGACCACTGTGGGGGGGTGATCCTCTACTGGATGGGGGGTTCATAGGTAATCCCTTCCCCTGGTCATATTTTGCACCAGGAATTTAACCATGGTGTAGAAAGTAGACTAGAAATGACTGGTAAACCTTCCCACATTTGGGTGGAACCTCTCTGCTGAAAAACCCATTTGGGTTGTTGCTGAAAATCGTTTGTTTGAGAGATTCATAAGCTTCTCCATGAAGATATGAAACTTATGTGCTTGCTTGGGGATGGTTCATCTGCTCTGTGTTTGTTTACATCTACTGGTTGGTGGTTTGGAACATGAATTTTATGACTTTCCATATATTGGGAATGTCATCATCCCAACTGACTTGAATATTTTTCAGAGGGGTTCAAACCACCAACCAGATTTTATTTTTGTTTTGAGGGGGTGTATTTTCTTGTGAGCCAAGTTACGCTGAAAATCAATGGGTAGTCATGAGGATATGTCGAAAGAACGTCTTTAGGGAAAAGTAGGATAACTCAGATGATCTATGTCATGGGCAGTTGCGACACATATTGTTCAAAGGGGTACAAGTGATCTGTTAGGCAAGAAGCGATTAAGGATTTTGCAGGGCAACCTGACGTTCTCAAGTCAACTGATGGACGCTTAAGGCGTGACAAGGCAAGGGCGCCTGATCTTCTTCATGGTTCTTAATGGCGTTAACAGGTAATTTTAGCGCATCAGTTTAAGGAATGTGGGTTTTGACAAGTCAGTGAAGTTCCCGCTTTTATTAAAATTCCTGGGGCCGGCTCAGAGAATCTAACCATTGGTGTTTCGCAAAATTCCTACCGATGAATCATCCCAGTGTGTTGCTTATTTCATGTTGGTGAACTGTTCAACTTTGCCCAGAAACCGAACTCTACTTATTTCAAGTTGCTCAGAGGAACCAACCCAACCCATTTCATGAAATTTAATAGTTTTATTCCGTGTTTGTGACCGATTACAATCCTTTTCCACTGGATATTTGCTCTTGATCTATCATGCTCAGGATTGGGATTAGTTTTGAATATGTTCTCTGGTTTTGTATTTAATATGCCAAATCTATTTCAATATTTTGCTATGTGAATAATAGTGCAGATTCATGATTGATTATCATTCACCATCATAGCACTGGGATGATGAAATAAGGTTATACAAATTATATAATGATTCATCGCAATCACATAATCCACCCCAGATTTATCATCATATTCAATGGATTGGTTTAAGGGAAAATCTTCACCGGAAACCATCGATGTTCCCATGAAGATTATGGGGTTTTCCTGTAAAATGTTCCTTAAACCAATCCATTGACATATGAGTATCCCATAGGATCCATGGTGCTGGTATATATGCTAACATAAAGGGGGTATATTGATGGGATCCATGGAGCACCATATATAGCAGCACCATGGATCCTATGGGTATGATATCCCCCCCATGTTAGTCGAGCCGAGTCGAGCCGAGGCCTCTCCATGTGGCGGCCATGATGGGGCGTGGCTTGGACAAATCCTGGTATTGATGTTCACCCCAAAAATTGCTAGGTCTTGACCCATCCTTATATATATATATATACCTAGATCCTCGTAGGCATGCATTTTTTTTGCCTTTTCAGAAAAATCCTGATTTGGGATTTAGCGGCACTTCTTGGAATCTATCGGCATTTTTGGGATTTTGACCCAAACTGATTGACATGATGCTTTGATCCAAAAGAAAATCACATGTGGCCCACCAGTTGCCAACCCATCTTTCTTTTTGGCTCTTCTCACAGCGGTTTCTGCATGTTGCTGCTGCCACTTCGTGGTCATGATGGCCTCACCTGCAGGTGCGCCAGGGCCACTGGGTTCCGCTGCGGGTGGTGGCAATGGTGTATTGGAAAGAATGTGGGATCCTGTGCAAACACTTTATTTGGGAATGAATTTTGGCTTAAAGCCCACGCGCTACATGACAATATGACAAGTATGACATTGTGCATGCACATGCCATGTGGCCATATGGGTGACATTGGGTGACTACTTTGTGTTTTCTTGACAGCACATCCCACTCGCCGATGGCTGCTGCTGCGACGAATGAATCCGCGCACAAGGGCCTTCAGCCTACGAAGCCTGAACCTGTTTCAAAAAAGCGCAAAGTCATTGACTTCAGGTTAGCTACAAAGATGGAGGACTCGCGTTGTTGCAGGGATCTTTTGAGGCAGCATGGCCGAATCATAGTTTGGCAATCAAAGGACCATGTCAATGTCATGAGCTTGGACGCACTCGCTTTGAACCACAAGGTGATGTGCATTGTGGCAGACCACCATTGCGCAGAGACCAAGGTAGTTAAGCCGCCAGCGGTGAATTTCTTAAAAGCGCAGGCGTGGTCAATGTCAAAAAAGGGGGACTTACTATTACTAGGGTGGGTAAATACAAAGCTTAGTTTTCAGCTTCAAGTTTGTATATACAATGGAACACTTTAGACCCCCCAAGGTGTGGCGGTTGCGCAACTTGCTGTCCATGCCGCGTGACGCAGTAGCTATTCACCATGATGCTTGGGCCATGAAGAAGCTTTTCAGTTACGCGCTGAGGAGGTCGGGCTGTGATGCACGGGATCCGGACCAGAGCCCTACACGAAGAGTCTCTTAAGCAATGCCTATTGTTCTTCAACTTTCTTAAACCTTGCTTTTCAACATACTAGATAATTTTCCTGTGTAGTTTATTTCGACGGAATTTCCCTGCTTGGTTTTCCAACTTCCTAACTCCCAGGCTGAAGGTGCGAAAGAGTTCTTCACCGTCCTCTACCAGCATTGGGAAGCCCAGCTGAAGGAGATCCAGGAGAATCGCCGAAAGAAGGCCGCTGCAGCTTCTGGGGGTGAGAAGGATTGTGGGAAAGGTGTGAGTTCTGTTATTGAGATCCCGGATGAAGATGAGTCAAAGGAAAAGGCAGAGGAGACCAAGTCCCTGGAACAGGCTGAGAAAGGAATCATCCTGATTGATTCTGATGGGCAGGTTTGGGATGATGGGTATTGTGCTATCCTTGAAAACGAACCTGAGCCCACAGCGGAGTTCAAGGGGGAGACCACTGAGCCCACACCTGTTGAAGAACCCAAGGGGGAGTACCTGCAAGAGCCCAAGCCCGCACCAAAGCCAGAGCCCACTCCTTCTCCTAGCGATGAATATGAACGGAAAAGAAAGGAATTGATTCAGTACCTCGGAGTTGATTGATATCATTTATATTACTTTGTTCCCGGGGGTGTATGGGGTATAGGTTTGTTACAAACTCCCTGATCCATTTTGCTACTTCGCCTTACCAAAAAGCCCAGGATGCTTTTGGCAAAGAAGAAAGAGTTGGAGGTCCTTCAGGAGCCGCTGCAGTGTGCAACCGATACGTCCCCAACTCTTCCATACAACCCAGAGGCTGCCCTCTCAGAGTATGATTGTGAGTCGCAGTGGCGGCTATGTGTGACACCGAGACCGAAGGATAAGGAAGAAGTTGATGATACTCAATTCCGATCCCTACTACGTGCCAAAACCTTGCGGCTTGGGGATACAGAGGAGGAAGAAGTTGAAGTGGAGAATGAGAATGAAGAAGAAGCAAGTGACAAGAAGAACGATGGTGACAAGAAGGCCGCGGAGAAGGAAGGTGAGGGTGATGGGGGGGTGGTAGCCGCAACAAAGTTGGAATCTCCTGGTCCTGACCTGAAGTCTTCTGACAAGAAGGAGGACATGCATGAAGAGAAGATCTTAGAGGAGAAGCAGGAAGGAGAGAACAAGGTTGCTGCTAACGAGGCTGCGGAGGTTAAGGTGGTTGAGAAGGGTGAGGATATGAAGGGGGGTGCTCAGGAGACAGGTGGCAAGGAGCCCAAGGAGCCCAAGGAGCCCAAGGAGCCCAAGGAGCCCAAGGAGCCCAAGGAGGTGAAGGAGACGAAGAAAGAGGACCCGAAGGACGACAAGATTGACAAGGAGAAGAACACTGAGAAGCCAACCCCAGAGCAGAATGTGGATAATGATGATGATGATGATGTGCAGATCGTTGGAGAGAAGACAACCAATGAATCTTTCGTGCAATACTTGGAGAAGATGCAGAAAGAAGGGCAGACCTTAGATCAAATTCTGAAGACGCTGCGCAAGCAGGAGAAGAACAAGAAGGCTGGAGAGAAGGATGAGGATGAACCTGCCCCAGTCATCGCCAGGATTGACCAATACAAGATGAAGAAAGCCAATAGGGCTGGGGACGAGGATGGTGATGATGATGATGATGAAAAACCCAGAAAAAGACCTGCTTCTCGACGAGGTCGCCCACGGGGACGTGGACGTGGCCGTGGCAGAGGTCGCAAGGCTCAGGTTCACAAGGAGCCACCAGAAGAGGAGGAGGAAGCAGAAGATGAAGAGAAGGAGGAAACAGAAGATGAAGAGAAGGAGGAGGAGCCGAAGCCCAGAGCAAAGGCGAAGGCGAAGGCGAAGGCAAAAAGCAAGGCGAAGGCGAAGGCGAAGGCGAAGGGGAAAGCAGAAGGAAAGCCAAAGGAGAAGAAGGCAGAGGCGAAGGATGATGAGGAGGAAAGCAAGGGTGAGGATAAGGAAAGCAATGGTGAGGATGAGGAAACTTCCAAAGGAGGGCATGCGGGGAAAAGGAGGCGGGTAGAGGATGAGACCCAGAAGGAAGAGGATGGGCCCAAAGAGAAGGAAGGAAAGAAGAAAAAGGATGAAAAGCCTGAGGCCAAAAAGCCTGAGAAGCCTGAGATGCCTGAGACGGACAAAAAACCCAAGAAGGCCAAGAAGGGGAAGCCTGAAGGTGAAAAACCCAAGAAGACGACCACCTCGTTTGCTCGTCGCCCGTGCCCCAAGACGAGCCCGGCATCTGATCGATGGGTGGCAAATCAGAGCACCTTCAAGACTATGGTGATGCCAAGGATCCAAGCGGAAGGGGGATCAAGCTATGCTTGGGAGGACTGGGGTTAAGTTTTGCCCTTTGCTTCCCCAAAACTTTTTCCAAAATTTCAACCATTTATTTGGGGAAACCCTCAACCGATTGCAATGCTACACTCTTGTGATTTGCGGGTGCTCGGGGGAGGAGCCTTTTCTGAACGCGGTGATGAAGGTTTTCAATGCTGATCGATCGGCTGACCCATCTACCTATAAGGATTTGGCTGCTCAGTGTGTCCCCGCCTTCCTTGACATGGTGATGGCGAACATGAAGGAAGACTAAAGGTTTGAGCGTGGCATTTTGGCACTTTGCAGCTTCCCTTTCGCTTCCAACCTCCCCATTAAACTGGACAAGAATTCATAACTCCAACTTGTTGTTTCATGTTGAAGCTGCTGCTGGGTTTTGTGGATATGCATGCGAAGCCATGCCATACATTATTCTTATTTTGGCATATTTTGGCCTGGGGTTTCATGTGCAACACAAGCGCATGATGTGGGGTATCGTGAGTGCATCGCTCGCGCAATCTATCATTTCTGCTTTTGTAGCAGTCTGGAGTGCTGCTGTGGCGTGAGAAAATTGAAAGTAACTTGGCATCTTGAAACCAAAAAATGGTAAACATGTTACAGTACTCAGAATGCATACATGTGCAAACATATTTGTTGGGAATCTATATCCTGTGAGAAATAGACCGATCTTTCATTTTGTGGGTGTAGTATTTCTCAATGCGTAATTTCAAGAGAACTGATTCCGATCCAACCCCCTGTTGACAGGCGATGTATGGCCTCCGTCGTGGAGAAATAGGCTTGGCGAAATTTGGCCTGGGCTCTGAATGCAGGCCAGCAGGTTTACCTGGCAAGTTTACTATCGGGTTTACCCAACCAAATCGATGTGATCTTCCAAGGTATTTGAAAACATGATGGGTCAATTTTTGAGTGTGACATTTTTAAATGTTGAAGACCATCCCAAAAAAACAGTCAAATATGGCACTCAAGAACTGATCCACAGCCTGTCCACTTTTGCTGGTGAAGGAACATTGGCTCAATTAACCATAGTCCATATTCGGTTCCGACCGATCCCGGTTGGCTTTGATTAGCCATGGGCCCCTTTGACATGGAGACCTTTTTCCGAAGGATGTTTGCTATGAGAATTCCTAAAGCCCCTTGGCATCAGTCTATAGGACAAAATAATTAATTGGTATCTTACTGGAATTCAACTTCGATCCCTATACTTCCATGGAAAAACCTCAGCTCAGGTGATTATCCTTCTTGTTCTCTTAATTTCTTGGATGGAGGACCCGGATCCACAAGATGTTGCCGTGAAGCAGGATGTTCAGGTGATCGAATATTTCGCTGGGGTTGGGCGCATCGCCCAATTGTCTCAAAAAGTTGGATATGTATCGTACGGGTTTGACTTGGACTATGGAAAGCAATCTTCAAAGAGAACTGGGCGACGAAACCCCCTCGACTTAAATTCCAATGCTGGATTTATCTTAGCTGTAAAGCTGATCTTGAGATCAAAGTTCAACGACCTGGTGGCTATCTTTGCAGTTTGCTGTTCATCCTTCGTTCCCATCAATCGAGCAACTGGGTCCCGGGACATTTTGGTTCCGGAAGGGAATGAAAATATACCTTCAGTGCGAAAATCAAACAAACTTCTTTCTCGGAAGCTTTGTCAAACTTTTGCTACCAGTATAGTTTTCAGCTATTTGAATTGCAATTTTGATTTTGCCCCTCTACCCATGAAATAAATTCCATTTTGGTCCTGCCTTCGTCCGCATTCTTGCTGAGGAGCGTTATCTTGATGGTCCTGGTGATATGTGCTGGAGGGGTGATTGGCATGGAGAATCCCCAAAACTCCCTCATCGGCATGCATGAGCGATTCTGTTGGTTCATTCGACTGCTAGAGTCATTTGGGATTAGTGTGCTTTGGTAAATGCCCAGTAGAAAATGATTTGTGCTATTTTGTTGGCTTTTGGGTGAAGTTTAGAATATTAGAATATATTGTATTAGAACTCAAATGTGATAGGTTATCCTGTCTACTGTGCTTGCCCAAGGTATATAAATGCAGCTTTTGGATGCGAAAGCATCTTGCAGCCACATGGAAACGAACGTGGTTCTGGTCGACATCACCACGCATCGGGGAGCTTGATCTGGGTAGGCTGTTGCCATCAGAAAGGGCCACCACCGTTCAAACAACAAAGCGGTGGACCAAGAATGGGAAAAAGAAATGGCAAGGGACACGGGCCCTTAAGGGTACCCAGTAAATTGGTTTCAAATGGCAATGTGTTTGCTTTATTTTTGCGCTTGTTAAGGGGGCTGTGATAAGGATGCATTGGTATCCCAAATCAAAATGTTGTTGTTTATCCTTGTTCAGTTTTGAGGCAATATACATGGCGCTTTGCAAGCAATTTGATTCGATTATTCCCTGACTTTAAGCTGGAAAAACATCATGAAGCTTTACCACCAGTGTCTCGGTATAATTTTTTTCCATGCTGGAACATCCTTTTCCCGTACTATTCTTTCAAATCATGTTCAAATCAAGTAGACTGGACCAACCATTCCCAAGTTCCTTTTCCATGTGAGGTTTCTATGGAAAAAACTCTTATCGAGATGTTCCGGGAAGCTACCTTCGACGACCTCTGGTGTGAATGCAGTGACATTAGAGATGTCTTAGTATATGCCCGGGGTAGCAAACGTCTCCGCATCCCTGAGGGATGGAGGGAAGTCCTGCCCACAGAGCTTTGATGCTCACCTCGGACCTGGCCCGGCACTGGAAACTGCTGGCGTGGATTTGGGATCAGGGTATATTATAATATAATATGGTGGATAATTCACAAAATGTTTAATCATGAAATGTATGATCATGAAATGTCTGATCATGAAATCTATGATATCATGAAATTTTCTGATCATGAAATGTCTGATCATGAAATCTATGATATCATGAAATTTTCTGATCATGAAATGTCTGATCATGAAATCTATGATATCATGAAATGTTCTGATCATGAAATGTCTGATCATTAAATGTTTGATCATGAAATGTCTGATAAATATTAAATCAAATTAATGAAATGTCTGCTCATGAAATGTCTGATCATGAAATGTCTGATCAGACATTTCATGATCAGACATTTCATGATCAGACATTTCATGATCATGAATTCTGTGAGGTATACCTATGGGCCAGTATTTCTACAAATATTTGATCATGAAAGTAATGATCAAACATTAGGTTATTTTTTTGAAAAATATCATTTTTCCATCGGCGGATTTAGCCGGGTTTCCGGCAGATTTAGCCGGGTTTCCGGCAGTTTTTGCCGGTCAGCAATTTTTGGGTCAAAGCAACATGCTAAATATCTCATTCAAGTCTCGTGTGTTTAGCTCGGAGACACTATTGGACGGTGAAAGCATCATGGCTTCCCATTCCTATGAAAACATGGACACAGACCAGCTCCTAGCAGAACTTGCTCGCTTAGAGGACCCAGGTTGATTTTGGATTAGTAGGTATTTGCATTTTTTCACGATATACCCTGAAGCATCTGAGACAATACCCCAATGTAATTCATCCCTTTCAGGACTTGAAGGGCCGCATAGCTTGTGGGAAACCAGTTGCAACCCCAGCGCGTGCTTCTCGGGATGATGGCTGGAATGAAGAAGATATTGCAGCTGCAACTCAGGTGCTGTTCTTTGGGTTTGCATTCTTAGAGTTTAATTGAGAGGGACCTATTAGAATTGGGTTTTAATTTAAATGGGTTTTAATTTCAATTGATGATGCCATCCCCTCAAGACCCCTGAAGGTTGATCCATATACACCATCATCAAGTGACAGTGGGGTGAAGCAGGTTGATGCCAACCCTCCCGGCCAATCACTTGCCCGTTGCCTCTCTTTCGCATCGCAGTCAGATCCTGACAAGCGTGAGATTGAAAAGGACCCGCTGGATGTTGCCAATGTTTTGGCGGGACTTTCAGAGTCTTCCATTCGGAAGAGGATTGGTCGGCTCATGGCACCCAAGGCAGATGGTACCCTCAAGGTACCAGCGGAGCTTGTTAAGGAGTGGAATTCAGGTGATCAAAAGAGATTGCTTCGGGAATTCCAAAATGCTGGTTTCGACAAGGACTTTGGGCTGGGGACCCCCAAACAATATGTATAATTTGATTCATGGTGGAATACCCAATTCACATGGTTTCACATTGCCTGTTGGTGGTGGCCTATTTGAATTCATTTGATATCACTAAGGGAAAGTATTTCAAAAGAAAATGTTTGGGGTCTATCGATCACAAGTGCTTTTTAGTTTGACACACTCGCTGGCTGTATATTCAATTTTTGGTGCATCCCCCAAAACAATATAGTTAATTAGTCCACCACTTGTAGCAGGATGTCTTCGTCAAGAAAACCTTGAAGCGCATCCGTGAGAAGATTTCAGAATCCGATATGTGGTCAGAGGGGGCGTTCAAGTCTGAAGCTGACATGGTTGCGGATGGGCTGCCAGAGAACCCAAGCTATACTATTGTATTTTTATTAGGTGGATTGTCTTATAATGTTTGTCCACTAGCTCCAAATTCTTAACTGCAGTGTGCTCCAGGATCCCCCGTCTATTTTCCCGGGTCTTGGGATCACCCCTGTCTGCGTGCCTAGGAAGAGAATCAAATGTATCAAGGCAGTTTGCGCGAAGAAGAAAGGATGGATCCGGTGTCTTGGATTAATCAATCAACCCATTGGGCATTATAGAACTTGCAACGTTTTACAAACGGTCACTATATGGAAGCCTAGCAACGTAATTGCTGGCAATGTTGCCATGTATGTCGTGATACATGCATGCACGATCACACAGTTATACTTTGAATTCAAACAGCTCTTGAATGCCCAATCTGAGGCAGGACCTCTACGAGAAGGATGTGAAGTTATACTGGGTCCAGGACAATGAGAAGGGCAAGAAGTTGAGTCTGGGATTTACAGTAAAGCATGGGTACCAAACAAATATGATATAGTTATAGTTTAGTCACAGTAATGCCTTCTATTCTGTGCTTGCTTCAACTTGTGATGGAAATGCCAAACCAAAATATGCTAACCAATGAACATGTACGGTATATCGGGAGTGTGAATATTAAGATATTATATAATATTGGGATTAATTTTCATGTTGGACACCACCTCCAACCAAACATGTCCCATGGCATATCAAAGACTTGGGGGCCCCTTTTCTTCTTGCTCAGGAAACGCCGTCGTGACACCACCAGGGCGGAATCGGAGTCCTCGAATAGCGGTGACATCAGCGATGACTTGGGCCTTGGCGAATGGGAGCACAAGCAGGAACAGCTTGACCCAGGTGAGATGTGTTGGGGATAGATTCTGCTAAGGGGTACTATTTCAAAACCTGTTTAAGGTTCACTTCATTTTGTTGGAGTGTTTTGGGGTCAATTGGACTGACAAAACCCTGACCAGAAACCGCGGCTCTCACAGAGAAGGCGGAAAATCAGGCTGAGGAAGCCAAGTGTCTTAAGCTGATTTCTTTCCCTGAAATGGATAGCGATGGTCTCCCAAGCTGTTATGCTATGAAAGTGGCAGCCTGTCTTGGCAAGTGGCAGTTGAAGATGCATGATCTTGGGAACATGATGGATCCCAACAATCAAACCATGAAACCGTTTCCTGGCTTCTGTAGGATGAAAAGCTTTGAAAAGCATGGTAAATTTGGTTTATTTATATATTGCCGGATGGGCATAACTATATATATATATATATATATTAATATATATTATATTATATTATCTAAAGGGCCTTAACCACCCCCACCATTGAAACTGCGTCCTGGCTTCTGACAAGAATTACCTTCTTTTCTGTCAATTGGATATAATCTATTATAATATAATATATATATATACCGATGGACCCAAACAATCCTACCAAACAATCCTACCCAAAGTTCTATGCTTTACATATCGCCGGCGTGGCTATGCACCCATCCCAGGCTTGTCCAGAAAGCATCCAACTTGTCTGAACAGATGGTCAAGACTGCAGATTGCATAGCCGATTGCAATTCCACTGGTATTGCCGACGGTTTCAGTACAGCGCAGCATGTCTGAAATTAGATTAGCCCCAGACCTGTTTGCCAACCTGTATGCGAAAACATGGCACCTTCAGACTAGAGTAGGAATACCAATAGATATCACTACTAATAGAGACCCTTTAACGTCCACTTGAGTTGGTGCTGTTTACTTGAGGCAGCAAGACAAATTTCGATCCCTCTACGCGGATGCTAAGAAGGTGTGCCTTGGCTGCTACAATGGCATTGCACGTGCAATCAAGTGTTGCCAGTAGTATCTTAACCTGAAACACTACTTGAAACTTGAAATGTTTTCATAAAATCCTATTCCCAGGTTTGGCATTCTCATGAGAACCGGCCATTCAATAACATGTTTCCCTGATTTTTTTTGACCCGGGGAGGGATGGATTCCAAATTACCCCCAATGTTGCTTTAGTGCCAAAACAGTCTAATGATGCTCCCGAGCTCCCCTCTCAGGTGCCGAGAAGCATTGCTCTTGCAAAGCCGGGCCCAGCCTCATGGTGCTGAGCAGTTTTCTTGGGAACATGGGATTATGGGCGGATGGGGGCGTGTGGACAAACGGAACCATGAGTGATATGATATGATATGATCCCCAGCATTCCCGAACCAAACTGGTATATGGTGCTCCATTGTATGATGGGTTATATTTGATTCATTCCTGAGGCCTTACATTGCCTATTTGAAGCAGAAGAATAAGCAAGCACGCCGAGTGAAGGAGGAGCAGGAATGAGTGATCTTGCAAACGCTGGGGACAAATCTACTATTTGCAACGGCTTGGATTTTCTATTCATCAGAACATTGGAAGGTCATAGAAATCCATCACAGTAACATTTATTGTATCCTATAGTATATTAAGTATATTGTGTTTTACCTTAGCCTATACTTAGCGTTTGCATGTGTGGTTTTTACCACAAAAGTTGCGACATGGGGTGGCTGAGAAGTTTGGTGGGACTGGCGAACCAGCCCCACAGTCTAGTACCTTCTCCGGCCTTTGGTGATCTTCAGTTAACAATTGTTAATATACCTGGCGAAGGCCGTCCTCAATAGATAGCCTTGCCATGAAATCGTTGTTCCAACATTTGAAGGGGTCTGGCAGAGTGGAAAAATATATGTGCTGCCCCTGAGTTTGCAAAGGTTTGAGATGTAATTTTGTCCGAAATACTGCACAGCAACCTGAAATTACGCCAGGTCGACATGAAGAAGCTGGCCCAGTTCTACGTCAAGCCATTCGCAATGTGGCTGATGGCGCTACTTGCCAAAAAAATGTCATTGGCGTAATTGGTATGTCCTCAAGATTACAAGTATCCCAGATTAAAATTTCGGTATATCCCTGAAATAAGTATCCCATCTAAAATGTCAGCAAGTCGATCATTCATGAAATAAGCATCCCATAGATTTAAAGAAGGTATCCCAGAGATAAGTATCCAGTTTTATTGTAACAAGTCAATATATCCCCAAGAGAAATATCCCATTGAACATGTGAACAAGTCAACTGTTGTGATTTTAACTTTTGAGGTTCGCCCCGAAAGAAGTGTATGCCCAAGACCTCATTGGCCCTCATCAGCTTAGGCCCCTGCTCGAACCGTGGCGGATCAGACCAGGGCGCTGGCTGAAGAACATGGCAAATCCTTCGCAAGGGCCACGATGCGGTCATACGGGGTGAATGTAAAGAATGCAACATTGGCTTAATGTTAATCACCTTGATTTTTGTCATTCCTTAATTGATTTTTTGTTGGGAACTGTATCCTATATGGGAGTCTGGGGTATTTCTACATTGGATTTAACACCCCCTGAAAGGCAAGGCGATTGCATAATGCCTTGGTCCAGAAGTTTGGCCTGGAAGTGAGAATCCCTGTCACTGACTTCGTTCACATGGAGGGGCCACATACTGTGACAATTCCATACCTGAAACCATCCGATCTATTCGAAACTGTTTTGCTGAAAGAACCATGGCTACTTCTTGGAGGGTCTGCTGATGCAAATTCCCAACAGTTGCTCCAGACTTTCTGGCGATGCTATGAAAAAGAGCACCCTGACCATGAAGTTTTTCTGCATGGTAGGGACCGGTTAGATAGAACGGTTCCAGTAACCCTGCATGGGGATGGTGGCCGAACCCAGAAAAAACAACCTTTAGAAATCTTTTCCATGCAGCCAGTCCTGGGCCTGAACAGTCGATCGACCAACGAATCCAACCAATGCTGCTGCGAGACCTCAGAGCTGTTTGGAGGTGACAACCCTGGGGACCCATTGGCTCAGCACATCAACAGTAAGCACAACAGTTATTTGACGCATTTTCTTATCTTCGCATACCCATCCAAAAAGTACAAAGACTTCAAAGGTTTGCTGCTGGCGCTGCTTGAAAGGGCGTGCTCCGATTTGGGCACTTTGTGCGCTACTGGGGTGACTGGCTTTGACAAGGAGAAGTGGTACCCTGCTTGCGTTGGTTTCAAACTAGACATGGAATGGATGGCCAAGAGTGGATCTTTGACAAGAAGCTATCAAAATGTTGGTGAAACCAAAGAACACGCGTGTTGCCATGAGTGTGATGCTGGCATGCCTGGAGTGCCGTTTGAAAATGTGAATGCTGATGCTGAATGGATCCCAACTCGTTTCAACACAGTTCCTTGGAGAGTGGAACCACCTTGGAAGAACAACCCGTTTGATACTGCTAGGCCTGCGAAATTTCTGCGGAGAGATGCTTTTCACATCTACAGGCTTGGCATACTTCGGAACTTCATCGGGTCCTGTATCTACTTGCTCGTCTACATGGAATGTTCCTAACCTGAGCATAATCAAATGTTTGCTTGTTACCATCCCCAATGTTTTAAACTTTAAACCCAACAAAGCATTGGGCCAATCTGGTTTTGTTTTCCGAAGCCTTTCACATACTGAGGTTTTACAGTGCAAGGTGAAAGCAATGCGATGGCCAAGTGCTTAGAGCGCGCATGGGGGAACCTAATGCTATTCTGTAACGTGCAGAATTTGCGTGTTGATGGTGTGCGAGGCTTTACAGTTCTTAACCTACATGCGTCCAAGGGAGCCTTCCCTTGGCTTGGCTGTAAGGGATCTGACAGCATTGTACTTTTGAAATGGCTAATCTTTTTGGCGCGCTTGCATCTGTCTGATGCTGCTGGCTTGTCTGTTCAGAACCAGCAGGTGCTTTCTTGGATTGTGAAGGGTGCAAAAGCTGGGCTTTCTTTTTCGCAAGGCATCCACGGGCATGGTCTGTGGCTGCGTGGCTCTTGTGTGAAGTTTTTACGCAATGCATCGCAGCAATTTGGAGCTAGCTACGCACATCTGGCTGCCTATTGTTTGAGAAAGAATTGGACCTTCTTTGGGATGGTGCCAAAGTTGCATGCATCAATGCACTTCAGAACAGAACTGGATGATTCTCTTCAGGAAAACCGTGAATGGACTTTGAACCCGGCATGCTTCGACAACAGTATGTCCGAGGACTTTATAGGGCGTGTGGCTCGACAGAGTCGCCGGATTTCATTCAAGAATGTGGAAAGGACAATCCTCTCGAGCTACAAAGTCAAGCTCCAATTTGAAGTTAAAGACTTTAAACGACGACGTGGCCAGTAAAAAGAACTAAGGATCCAGCACTGTTGGGCTGTTGGGCACAAGGTTGGCAAACCAACTTGATCATGAAATAGCTTCATGACACGGGCGTTTGTTTCAATCTTGTGGACCAACTTTAGAATTTTCTGGGATTACCCATCGGCAGAAATTATGATTTCACGGCGTTTCTTGTCACATCCCGGCGTTTTTCCTAGGCACCAAAGTCACCGGCAGAAATTCTGCACACAGGGAAGTTATAGGTATATATATCATGTACTTACATATATGCTAAGCAACTCAGGATGTTTTTTCTGCACGATGCCATGGCTTCGCCATTCGAAATAGCCAACTGGATCGACTCTACCGGGCCAATGGTCAAATGGATTTGGGGCGGGGCATTATAAAAGACCCAGATAAGGTTAATAGTGGTTAATAACCAGCAGATAAGGAGGGATGAATCTTCCGGTGTTTCTTTCAAAAAAAACCCATTGGTTACTAACCGTAGCTGCACTTCTGGTCTTGCAGAAATTTCAACCTCATGCTCTTTTTTTTTAGGTTTCCACCCAAACCATCCCTATTTTTCTGCGTTGCATTTGCCTTCAATACCCTCTGGTAAACATACAAAAAACTATTATAATGGCCATAGAAATAGTGAGTTTTCCCATTAAAAATGGTGATTTTCATTGATTTTCCATAGTTATGTTAGTTTACCAAAGGGTAAATAGATGCATTCCCCAGTGATGGATTTCTGACATGTTCCACGGATGGATTTCTGACATCCATGGGTGGGGTACCATTTCTCACTTCAAGAACATGACCTGGTGAATGAGATATGGTTAATAGTTGTTAATAGTGGTTAATAGTGGTTAATAATGGTTAATAATGGTTAATGAGATATCTGGTTGTTGGTTTGGAACATGAATTTTATGTTTTTCCATATATTTGGAATAATCATCCCAACTGACGAACTCATATTTTTTTAGAGGGGTTGAAAAAAAAACAACCAGCATATGTCGAGATATTTTAATCTTGAAAAAGAAACACAAATGAGTACAATTTCATAAGATGAATGATAACGGTGGTAAAACAAGAACAATAGTACTATATAATACTAAAGTAGTTATGATTATAAATAACAATAAGGATAACAACAACAAAAAACAATATAATTTGAGTATACTGTAATTATTGATGATAATGGTTATTTATTTTTGATTATTTGTATATTATATAATATCCATAATAATAAATCAATACTAAATTATAACATTATTCAATTATAATACCATCAATACTCATTATTTGTATTTGTATTTGTTTATTATTTGATGACATTTGATGACGATTGTTATTTATACCCCATAGGATCCATGTATGCTATATATGTTAACATTTGCCATCAATATACCCCCTTCATGTTAGCATATATACCAGCACCATGGATCCTATGGGTACTCACAACACAACAAACTTTCTGAGTTTTCCTCGTGAGATTTCCTTTTCGACATCCGAGCCGCCGAGGTCGAGAGTTAACTCTGTCACTACTACAGGCTTGGATGGGTCAATTTTTGCATCGAATGAATGGTGAAGGGAATATAAACCAGATATATGATGATATATATATATATATATGTTCATATATATATATGTAGTCATTTAATAAGCATTGTCGAGCCATCAAAAAAATGGGGTTCTAAGTATGACCTGTAGTTTTTCCTATCTTTTGGTGTGTTAATTGACTGTTTATACGGCAAGATAAAATATATTTCAATGTTTATGTTACATGATGGAAAGGGAAACAGGTGGACAAAAGATTGAACAACGACTGGATACTGACCAGAAGGGGTAGCCAGTTCCATGCAGAGGATCCAACCAGAGAGAACTGAACATGGTGGACTTTGAAGGTTTGGGGAAGTGGATCATTGGCCAGACTTCTTCTGGTTAAAGAATGGCTGGTTAATAGTGGTTAATGGTGGATAATGGTGGTTAATAGTGGTTAATAATGGTTAATGAGATAATCTGGTTGGTGGTTTCAAACATTTGGAACATTTACCATTTCATAAAGATGGGATGTCATCCTTCCCATTGACGAACTCCATGATTTTTCGAGATGGTTTTTTAACCACCAACCAGATATAACTTCGCTATGTTCACATCCCATTAAATGTAAGTGAAAATCCCAGGACAAAAATCCAGCAAAAAATCCCATTGGTTTCTCCGAAGGTGATAGTTTTTGTTTACCACCAACCAGTCTTGAAGCGATCAAGCTATGTCAAGAGGCAACTCATTGGTTTCACACAACGTTTTTCAACAGAAGGGGTCGTGCATCTCCGCTTCAACGATTCGATCCAACTATCCGTTCGTCGAAGCTCATGAACATCCCTGACAAGGCATCGAAGGTTACGGTTACCCGGCCTGGTAAACAGACAGTTTGCTATTGAAAATTGCCATTTATAGTGAGTTTTCCCATTAAAGATGGTGATTTTCCATATATAGTTATGTAACAGTTTACCATTTCGGGTAAAGACCAACTATCCGTTGGTGATCTCACCGTTGATAGATTTCGTTCTTGTTGATAGATTTCGTCTGATTTCGATGCTGTTTCCACTGGCAAAGATCAACAGGGTCTTTCGATCTCGGGAGAAGCTCAGAAAGGGCTGGGCTCGAGCAGCAGATCAGCTGCAAAGCGAGCTAAGGAAGACTAAGGAGATCTAAGGAGAAGCTGGGGATCAGAAACCCCTTCTCCAAGGAAAATCATCATTTTTCATGGGAAGATGCCCCCAAGACCATCTGGTAGACTCTGGTAACCCATATGCGAACCATGGTGCTGGAATATGAATCCCAACATTTGCCCTTGTCCAAAATCACCCAGTTTTGTAGGTAAATATACCATACATGGAGCATATGGGAGTGGCAAAAGTGATCCCCTGAAGAAGCCCCCAATTCTTGGGCCACCCATTCGCCAATCCGAGCAGGGTCCCTGCTGCAGATTTGTTTCCTCAAGTTGGCAGGGACAGCTCCCCGTTTTTTCGTGGTTAAATAAGTTAATTAATCACTTTGCTGGGCCAGCTGGACAAAAAAACATTGTTTCTTGTATAGTTCTAACATTATGTGGTGGTAAGATCTACATGTTTGCAATTTTCATGCCAGAATTTGATGCCCCCTGTAAGTTAGATTAGTCTCCCACCCCACTTAGACATATCATCATATCCACCGTAAAGCCATCCGATAGCCCAGTCCTTGGGATCAAATTTCTCGAGAATCCCCAGGTACCATGGTACCACCATGACTCCCATGTCCCATGGTACCACCATGTTGGTGAAATCCTGAATTTTTCCAATGTTGATCCCATTTGATGTCCTGATATACCCTCTGGTTATTTGTTACATAGCTATGGAAAGATCCACCATTTTGTAGCTGGGAAAATCCACCATTTCTATGGCCATTTTCAATAGCTATGTTAAATTACCACAGGGTATCCTGATATTTGCAATAACAAATCCATGTGTTTTTCTGGGTAAATTTCAGCACGACCGAGCCCTGCGACCGAGCCCTGGAAATCATGTCGTGTTTTTGTTTTAGAGGTATATATTATCCCCAAATGGCCGAACTATTCAGGTTAGTCAAATATTATAATTTACCCAGATGGGATAATTTTGTGGTATTACCATCTGGTAAACATACAAAAACTTTGGAAAGATCCACCATTTTTCATGGGTAAAAAAATCTTTACCCAGATACCCAACCTGGTTATTTAACATAGCTATTGAAAAAATGGCCATAGAAATAGTGGATTTTCCCAGCTACAAAACGGTGGATCTTTCCATAGCTCCGTGAGATCCCCATTCCCATTGATCTATTCATATCCCTAAAAATATGCCTTCCTGGCAATGGAAGAAAATCACTGGCCTTACATAGGCCAAAAATATATGGTTTATAATGGTTAATGATGGTTAATCATTGGTAGATTCTATAATCAATGGGAATTTAACTGGAACCGAGAACAATTGCAGGTACCGATTCCATACATAAGGCCTATTTGTTAGGCTTATGTAAGGGAATATCCCAACAACATATGGCCAAACATATGGTACTAACGTACCTCCATTTTAGGTTCCTGAAGATCTCCCATTGATTATATCCCAGTAAATTCCCATGATATGTCCATTAAAATCCCGTGACTCTTGGTTCCTCCATGTAAACGTTGAACATAGATGTGGAAAACCCACCATGAACGCAGGTATTTTTCCCAAACGGACACCGTGGGTTTTCCACATCTTTTTGGTATGTTGAAACACCTTGGGTATTCCGTGGAATCACATTAAAGCATTAAAGCCCATAGAATCCATTCCAGATTACCATGTACCCTCTGGTAAACTGTTACATAACTATGGAAAGATCCACCACTTTCAATAGGTAAATCAACATAAATCAACTATTTCGACTGGGCAATTTTCAATAGCAAACTGTTAGTTTACCAGAGGGTAAATCCCATGAAATCGTCATTAAATTACCACTAAATCACCATTTAAGAACCACACCCAAGGGTACCCTCTGGTTATGACTAACATAGCCATGGAAAATAGCAACCATAAATGGAGGTTTTAATGGGAACATTATCTATAAATGGGCCATCTATACCATGGCTATGTTAGTCATAACCAGATGGTAACTCCGATTTTTTTCGAAAGCCATGACCAGCCCATCGGAAGGCCTTGGGGAACCCCCATGCGCACAACAAGCGCGGCTCGTCACCCTTGGATCTTTGTTCGGACGTCTCCACACGCGAGGCCGAAAGACAAAACCATGGAGATTTGAATGATTTGATGCCCCAAAACCATGGGTTTTCTATGGAAAATCAAACATCACATCGACGTGAAGGTTCAAAAGAAGGTTTCATGGTAGATTATGGTAGATTAATATGATGATATCCATGGTTTCATTTGAGGTTTGACATGGCTATCTACCCTCAAAAGTTTGGATTTAACATGATTCAAACCATCTAAAATGGGGATGTGATTGGG